GCAAGTGGGGCCTAGTTACGAGCCACTTACTGTTTAGTGGCGAGCCGCAGCAGCGTGCGTGTTGGCCGGGCTGGAAATACCAGCTTCTCGCTGGAGTGCGACTGAGACAGTCGGTGTGCGTCCCGACCTGCTACACACGCCCACCGAGTGTTGTAGGTGTACATGAAACGGCCTTCCGACTGCATCCCGTTGAATGTGGAAAACACTAAAAAAGTGGCCAAAATAGCCATTGATCAGAATTGGACCGGCCGCCATTTCCAAACCGGGCCTCATCTGCGGAGCGTTTTGATAACTTTTAATCACCACATCGTGTAGTTTGTGCCTGCCAAATTTCAGGTGTGTACGACTTACCCCCTAGGAGGAGATAGATTTTGAAATCGGCCATAAATGGCCGATTTTCATCGCCGAGCCTCCATTTTTTTCAAAATGGCCGACTTCCTGTTGCGTTTCAGGTATGTGTTTTTGAGGCTTTTTTGTGCGTCTTGAGTTGTTACATGTGTGTACCGAATTTCGTGGCTCTACGTGAAAGTGTGTTCGGGGGCCCATTTTTCGTAATTTTGTAGGGGGCGCTATTGAGCCATTTTGCTGTTGAGGTGAGTATTTCCCCTGAATTATAAAATTTTTCGCCAGGTCTAATGTGTGTGGCGAGTTTGGTGAGTGTGTGAGTATGTTGTGTACCTCAAAAACGCGTTTCATTGTCATGAATGATAATAAAAATCCGAGCAGTTCCAATAGGGTCTTCGCACCCTTTTGGGTGCTCGGATCCTAATTACATGTCAAACACAGAGTCCACAAAGAATGAATCGAAGAATTCGGAAGTTACGCAACAAGGCGGTGCAGAAATTTCATCCAATCATCTCACAGAACTACTGATCGAGCAGTCGACAGCCAATAAAACACCGTATTTTCCGTCAGGGGCGGGCTTTAGGCGCTGTAGCACAGAGGAGGCGGTGCCGCTTCCTTTCTGGCCAACTTGGCTGAAGTGTCACCCGGACCGTACCAACAGACTTTGGTAAAGTTTCTGCCCCGGTGCCCTCCCGGTCCTGACATGGCTCCCAGCGCGCAACTGAAGGAGGCGATAGCCGACGTGCAGGACGGCATCCGTGCCATCCTGCTCGGACCTCCCGGAGCCGGGAAGGGGACTCAGGTGAGGCGGGCGAGCAGCCGGAGCTAGCGTTAGCTGCTAGCCGTTAGCTTGGAGCGTGGCCGGTATTAGCAGAGTATTAGACCGAGCTAATGCTAATGCTAGCCTGCTGTGCCTGGCTTTACCTGGCTCCATTTGACATTTGAATAAATAATATCGGTGTTTTTTGTCTTTACCCACAGTCAGCTGTACTTACTAAACAAAGGTGACATTTTATTCTGTGTGTTTATTAGTTTAATTGTGAAGTTTGCTGCTCTTGAAACCTCAATAATATCTGAATTGCTAAGAAGGACGTGCACAACATATGGAGTTTAATTTCATGAATAAATTGTTACTTAAATCCAATTTAATAAGCTTACTAGATTTTTAAAAAATGTATATTTTTAACTGTTCCAGCCAGACATTGCAGATTGAAAGGGTGACTGCAGGACTCCTTGTAGAGGTCATTATATTATTAATGGCTGTAAATTATTATAAGATAAGTTGATGTAATCGGCCTCTGGAAGGTTTTCAAAACTGAGAAGCTTTAAAACTGTGATATAAAACAGAGAAAGGCTACAACTTATGATCATTTTCATTGTCAGTTAATCTGTTGATTACGCTCTCTATTAATTTACTGGTTATTTGGTCTCTAAAATGTCAGAAAATTATGAAAAGCGTGTCTCACATTGCTCAAGTTGACTTAAACAATATCAGCTGCCTTGATTTCTTGATTAGACGTCAACTATTACATATGTGTGCAAGTATTTGGATGGAATTTATTTGTTTTTAAAGAAATAAAATCTAACTTGTCTGATTCCAGCTTAAAATGTAATTTTTTCCCTCTTTGACAGAAGACACTTTGACTATTCCCACATTTCATAGATCAAACAACTAATCGATGGATCCAGAAAACGATGAGTTGACAGTTAAAATAGTCGTTAGTTGCAGCCCTGAAAGAAACGAGCAAATAAGCAAGTTTCAAAAGCTGGAGTGAGAACATTTCTGTCTTAAAAAGTTATTTAAACCAATTAATTGATAGAATAAAACCCATCAACTAGTCAGTGCAGGTGTATAAAAAATGGAACAAATATTTGATTGTTTCATTTTAAAAATAGATATCCAGTCCATTTTGGGTCGTTACCAGAACACTGTGTTTTCTGAAAGATTCTGCAGTAGTTGTATTTATTTCTTTATTTTTTTTGCAGTAGCACTGTGTTACTTTAGACGTTATCAATAATAATTCACATCTTTCTCCAGTTAATGATTGTACCTGCTCAAATGTGAAGAATTCTTTCATTTATATTTTTGGAAATTGAGTGAAATTCAAATTGTTGGGTTTTCTGACAAGAAAATGAAAAAATACAGCAGCTACTAGATTCACTGATAATGAAACTAGTTGTTTCAGTCTCATTTTCTATCATTCTAAACTGATTACCTTTTTGTTGAGGAAGGTCTGATTAAACGTGTGGTGGACGTTTTCACACTTTGACAGTTTATCAAGCAAACAATAAAAATAATCAATAAATGGGACGATAAAAACAAAATAGCTGCACCTGTTTATCTTAATGAGCTCTTGTTTCATTCACCACTGATGCCACATCATAAAACACGTGAACAATAAAAGCTGCGGCAGTGAGCACAAAGCTGTGGGCTGCAGTCTGACAACAGAATGAAAAGAAGGATAAATGCATAAATACAGGAGAGTTCAGATGGATCAACCAGAACCAGCTCTGGTCAAACCGGTGCTTCAGGTCGAAAAGCTGCTCTCCTGATGAACTGGAGATGTGCTGTTAAAGAAAGTCAGATCCTTTCTCTAATATATTGACCCATGCAGGATAATGAACTACCAAAAAAAAAGTGCAGAAGTACAGAGAGTGGCATAAAGGGCAGCGAGTCCATAGTTATGAATCCAGTTACATAATTCAGAATGATTTGTGTTGCAGCTCTGAAGGAGAAGCAAACCTCAGATGTCATTGAAGTGTTGAAAAAATGTCAAAGTGACCTCCAGTCAGTGTGTGCTGTGGTGCGTCCGCAACGTGTAGCGCCCCTAAATAAACCACACGTGCACGTTAAAGAGCCCAGACACGTGTTTGAACAATACACGCGTGTCTTCGGACGCTGGTGTCTTTAACCGTGTTGTAATTCAGTCTGGGTGCTCCGTTTTCACTTTACCAACTTTGGAGCGGTTTGAATTTTTAGAGCTGAAACAATTAAATCTTTTTCGACTGTTTTGAAATTCAGTATCACTTTTATTTTTTTTACACTTAAGCAAGAAATTCTTACTCTGGCTTGCTAAATGTAAAGATTTTCTTCTTTTCTTTGGTTTGTGTGAGCTGAAACTTCTGTGTGTGTTTGGACAGAATAAACAAAGTATTATAATATATCACGGCTCTCTGGTGTTTCAGAAATCTCCAGACAGTTTACGGCTTTTAATATTTTAATATTACTCAATAATAAAAAATGCCAATTAAAAGCAGCTCTGGTTACTTTGCTTGTCAAATATTTTCCAAGCTATAATGTTTAAGTTTTTAAAAATAATTTGTATTAACATTTGAAGTTCTGCTCCTAATGTTTAGCCGAACTCTCAGCTAGTTGTACAGCTGAACAAGCTAACGGGTGTCTTTGCTTGTGTAACTGTGAACTCCCCAGTTTGAAATTCGGTTGGTGCGTAGCTGCAACCACATAAATAATCTCTGCTGCTGCAGACCCTTTGGTCTCTCAGCCAAAACACACAAACAGCCTTCATGCTTCAAGCCGCCAACGATTTCAGCGACTTGTCTTTTGACAAAACACTTACCACATCAAAGTTTAAACCCAAACTCTTTAATAATACACACTATTGAGGTGACGCTCTCTCCTTCACCCTGCAGGCCCCTCGGCTAGCGGAGAAGTACTGCGTTTGCCACCTGGCCACCGGAGACATGCTGAGGGCCATGGTGGCTTCAGGCTCCGAGCTCGGCAAGAGGCTGAAGCAGACGATGGATTCTGGCAAACTGGTAACTTTCCCTCCTTCATTTCTCCTGATCCATGAGTGTATTTTTCTCTCTGTTGACTTTGCAGCTCTTCGTGCTCCATCTCTTATGTTGTATTTGTCTTCAGATGACATTTACAGTGCTAACAGATTTATCAGATCGCCACCCAGTGTCAGGTTTATGCCACATCTGCCCTAAATTAACAGCATTGTCAATTACCAAAATAATTTCTTATGTTTCTGTAATGGTTAATACACCAGTATGTAGAAGCTCGTTAACCGAAATTATATTTTTAATGTCTGTGAAGATTCTCAGTCGTCCAGGTCACGGTTATTCTCGTAGCTTAATCGTAGCAACTGGACTTGCTTGAGTTCCTTGAAGACATTCCACCTCTCATCCAAGAGGCTTCATCAGTTCTGACTGACTAGTTGAGAGTTCCAGATACTTACATCCTAAAGGAGCCGTTAACACTGAGTTTCAGTTTCAGTTGGGGTTTTGTTGCTCCTCCCCCTCGTTATGTGAGTCATTCGTACTCCCCCTGTCACAATGGGGTTCGTTAAGGTCTTTTGTGGCTCGGTGTGAATGTGGTTTCAATATTTTTAATGCCAAAATATAATTATTATGATTATTGTTATTCATGACTTTTCAAATTTACTGTTTCACAAAAAAAAGAAAAAATAGCAAAGCACATTATTATTTCTTGATTAAAATGTGAAATTATAGTTATTTACTTGCATTCCTGAACAGAAAAATGTAGTTTTAGTGGTTGGATGTAATGCTTGATTAACTTCTCAGAGAAGCCCAGTGAGTGGCTCCGATTTGGGTATTAAAAGGTGAATCCAAGAGCTCGGCCGTATGTGGACAAGAATCGGAACAAAAGCTCTGCATCAGGATAACTTGAGTCTCAATGTTATAAACAGTAAATATTGAAAAGATTTAGCGCCGCAGAGTCATCTATGAAAAACAATAATCACCAAAAACTAAACTTAGTCTGAGCTAAGTAATGAATCTGTGGCGTTTTATTCCAGCTTAACATTTGTCCCTAAATGAAGTCGTCTCGTCTGCAGCCAAAAACAATAACATGCTGTTTTCTGCACCTTTTACAACACTTCTTATCCGTCGCTGTGTGTTTTGTCCTGCGTTTCTGTGCAGTTTTTCCATGCGTGTCCTCGTGCAGCTGTTGCATAACCGTCTGTCTCGGCGCTCTTCAGCGTCTCCGCATGTGATCGCGTCCTCAGCGTGATTTCCTCCGAGCTTTTTGTGTCTGTGATTTTCCACCATCTGTGTTTGACTCTCGCTGTTTGCTCATATTCATGTGTGTCCGTGTCTATTTGCTGTCCTCGCACATTAATGACTCCATTTATTGTCACAGAGGAAATTTACTGTGTGTGGAAGAAACGGACATCTGTGTTCTGTGGTTCAGGTTTTGTTGCAGCGTGAATGCATGGATGAGATCTGTTTTGTTTTTCTGTTGCAGGTCAGTGATGAGATGGTCGTGGAGCTCATAGAGAAGAACCTCGACACGCCGCCCTGCAAGAACGGATTCCTGTTGGACGGATTCCCCCGAACAGTGAAACAAGCAGAGATGGTGAGGATCTAATTTATTGGTGTCGCTTTTTGATGAAACCACCCTGAAGGGAATTCGTGCCGCAAAGTAGAGTTTAGCTTTACTTTTCTTGTTGTTTCTACAGTCTGGCTTATGCACACATTAAACAAACAAGATATGATAATAATTAATGAGCTGTAGACGTGTTGGCGGATGTGTTTTTGAGCTTTGGATCGAGTCGAGCTAGCTGTGTCCTTCTGTCTCCAGCTTTTATGCTAAGCTACGTACTCACTGTCGCTCCATACTTAAATGACAGAACCCCAAGCAGATCCTGGGACATTTTTACCCACTGTGGACTAATTTTTCACATCAATATAAAGTCCCACCTCTCTATAGAAACAGCATAACCGTGGCTAGGGGAAGAGAGAACATAGAAATGTCACTAGTGCAGTATGACAAAGTAAAAATGCCATAAATCATAAAAACATTAAAAACAAATTGAATTTTTTTGAAAAAACTGGAATCAAACTTTCCAACATTTCATACGTAGCAGAGACATTTTACAACTTACTTTAATAATGAACTTGTTTCCACATTTTCCGACATTCAGTCAAAACACCTTGAATTTCTGTCACGTGACTGTTAGTCGCAGCTGAGCTCAGAATTATTAGTTAGTTTTCTTTACATATTCTGGTGAAAGCTGTTTATTTTTTTGGTAGATTTTCGAATGAGACGTGTAGAATGATGAAATATCGCTGTTTTAAATTTAGATTTGAGTAATTCTCCTGCTGAAGCCAAAAGTTAAACGTGATTAGTTCAAGGATTGTTGGAAAGTTGAAAATCCGATGACTTTCCTTATTTTCAGAGCGTCTTACTCAGATCAGTGGTGTCATTTTGGTGATTTAAAAGCAAAAGCAAAACAGAAAACACACCATTCAAACGTGACGATGGGTTTTGGTGTTCACGAGCATTTTATCTTCTCTTCTCAGTGTCTTAAATTATGTGACTAATTGTGTTTCTCCAAATTTTGGTTTTCAGACTCGACGTTAAATTGACAGTGAAACCGTATCACTGTGTACTTTTGTCTTTTTAAATCTAAAAACAGATGTTTTTCTTTGCCTCAAGCTGAAGGCTTAATAGATTTTTTGTTCAGTATCATCCTACATATTTTCTCTCATAATTCTTTTCTTCTTGACATTCATGTCAGTAAAACTACTGTCATCTTTTGAAAATATATAAAAAAATTGGATCAGGTTTTAGGTATTTCAGTATTGTGAATAAAATGCCGTAGCTCTAAAGTATGATAAACAGGTTGTCCCTTTCAAAATGAACTTATTTTGCAGGTTTTAGAGGGTTTTAGGACTTTCAAAACCAACGGATGTCTTAGCTTTGTTTTCATTCACAATAACCATATTTTTAACCAAAAGAAAAAATCCAGATCAGAATCTTTTTCTTCTGACCTAATCTCAAAACAGATGATGTTTCTAGCAGAGCAAATGCCAGCAGATCAAAAAACAAGGAGATAATATATAATCAAATATACCTGAATTTGGTAAATTAAAATATAGACCAGCATCTAGTAATCTTTTTTGCTAAAGAAGCTGCATCATACGTCTGAGTTATTCTGCGTTTGTCTCCTCAGCTGGACGACTTGTTGGACAAGAGACGCGAGCAGCTCGACTCTGTGATCGAGTTCAGCGTCGACGACTCTCTGCTGGTTCGCAGGATCTGTGGCAGGTAGGAGCTGAGAGAGAGTTAAATATTCAGAATCAGAGGGAACCGTTGTGTTTCCCATTCAGGCAGCCAGTAAACGTGTTGGTTTTTGATCGGGCAGGTCGGTGCTTTCCCCCTTTTGACAGAGGAGCTCCTCATTCTGTCGCCGTGGTAAATCCACTCGGGCAGGTAGATTGATTCGTGTGGACAGAAGAGTCTGGCACAGTGAGATAATGTTGGAGGGAAGTGGAGCGTGAAAGCATGCGATTAATGGAGGAGGTGGCCTGAAGGGCTTTGAGCGTCCTGCAGAGGGAAGGTCGCAGAGTGAATCCTCAAAGAAGTCGCAGCGTTCGTCCCTGACGAAATGTGCTGAGTGTCCAAGCTGCTCGGTGTCGGCTTGGACTGTTAATAACCTGCTAAATGAATCTCTGAAGGTGCACAGAAGAAGCCACTCGAGTTCAGTCGTGGAACTGAAAGCAGCATCACGGTAACAGTTGGTCACATATATGTGGTAGAGAATTCACCCGCTGAATCGACGCAGCAACTTTCAGATCAGTGTTTTTGTTTTACAGGTAGCGGTTGTCAGCGAAAAGCTCTAAAAACAAAATGTGCCTGAAAATATCGGTCACACAGAGGTGCAGTAGGTTTAAAAACTCTGAACGCTCGTCAGAAATCGTTCAGATTTTTGTCTAAACATGAAAGTGATCAGAAATGTTGGAGGACACAAGAAGTTCTGGCATGTAAAGCGAAAAAGAGATGATTCAGATTCTGCTCTATTTCTGGGTCATCGCTTAGATTTCAAAATCGTGGCATGAGGCTTCTTTGAGGTGTTTCCGTCCATTAAAGCAGCATCCAGACTCATCAGACACTTGTTCAACTAAACCAACTTCAACCGCTGTTAGAAACGTGGTTGTTCTTCAAGTTTCCAGCAGAACTTTGCTCTCTGTCAGTAGCCCTGGTTGTGGAAAAAGATGGCGTCAGAACTAAGTGAAAGTTGCTTCAGGGCAGATTGTTATTCTGAGTAAACGGGGACTTCCTCAGCTTTCTCAATGTCCCATTGTGGCGAGACTGAATGGTTTTAAATGGAAACTGGATCAACCGTGTCCAAAGGTCGTGCAGCGACACGACAGCAGAAGATCTCACTTTGATTGCCGAGAGATAGAAAAAACATGCTGAGATAACACGAGTTATCAGGTTCGACCACACTTGTGTAGTCCATGTGGCTGCTGTCATTAATCCGCAGCAGTTTCTTTTTTTGCTCCTATCACATTTTACCTCACTGTTGGCTCATTGTTTGCTGCAGTTCAAAGTCCTGCACCTCGATGGAAACAGAACAACCATGAATAGAAGGAGAGAGAACTCTTCTTCTTCTCCTGTGCAGCATGATACAATTATAATGGCATAAACCAGAAAAAAAGTGGAATTTCTTAGATTATTTATTTAAGAAGAAGTTCAAACAACATGTATAACAGTTTTCCATGGTCTCAAAGTTGTTTCCTGGGCTGGAAAAAAATGTCTCTCTACATCAGGGGTGGGCAATCCTGGTCCTCGAGGGCCACAGACCTGCATGTTTTAGATGTTTCCCTCTGCCCAACACACCTGATTCAAATGATCAGCTCATCATCAAGCTCTGCAGAAGCCTGATAACGATCCTGATCATTTGAATCAGGTGTGTTGGAAGAGAAACAAGCAGGACTGTGGCCCTCGAGGACCAGAATTTCCCACCCCTGCTCTACATACTACTCATATTTTACTACTTGCATTTTAAATTAGTTTCCATCCTCGTGTCGTATCTACACAGCCTGCAGTTCAGCCGAAAAGTGCCTGAATTTCTGTCACTAGACTGTTGGTTGCAGCTGAGCCACAACTGGCTTCCTGGTTGCACTGAGGAGCGGAGAATTTTATATTTTTTTACATATTTTTAGGACTGCAAAGGATTCATCTTTGGTTTTTAAGTGAGACGTATTGAATAGACTGATTTTCTTTCAGCATCTGGTTTTGTAGCTCAGATTTGGTCCTTTTCCCAACAAAACCAACAGTTCCATTCGAGACCCTTAAAGCAGGTTTTCAGTACCAGTCCAAAGTACCTGCCTGCATCTTTTTTTTTTTTTCCCTCTCCTGAAAACGACACTAAAAGAGGTTCTACCGAGGTGGTTCTTGCTGTCAAAACATGCACAAATGTTTGGGTTGCAAGTTCCTGCAAGGAGGAAAACAGCGTCTTGTCTGGTTTCTTCTTCTGTACCTCTGACGGCGTCGATAAACGAGCACTGTCACGTTTTCAGAGTTTTGGCACAGACTCGTGAAGCATCTGTTCTCGTGACATGCTTCGTATTTATTGTATCATTAAATCTTAGTGATGTAATGATACTTGCTTTGAAAAAGATGGCAAAAAAGTAAAGTTAAAGGAAAGTAAGAAAAGTTAAAGCAATGTCTAAAGTTGTCTCCACAGCTTTTTTTCAGTAGACTGTATTTAAGAAATTTCATTGAACATTTAAGCCTCCATGAACTCTGACATACAAATGTGTCGTCGATCAGTCGTAACCTCTGACTTTGTGGGAGCAGAGACGGCTGCATTGTGTCATCCTGTTTTTATAACCTTCACTTGCATTGTGAAACATCTCCAGTAAATTACTCTGTGCCACTTTCAGTCTGACCTTATACTTGTTTATGTAAGTTGTTCGTGTTGAGGCCACAGAGAACTGAAAAGAAACTTCTAATTCTTCTGCTTTCTTGGTGCGTTTCCATCCCTCCAGACTTTCTTCCTCTGCAGTGCAGCGAATAATGATCTGCAGAGTAAATTAGCAACCATTTAACACAACATGCTGTGCTCTAGTTCGACGCTGACCCACAAGTTGTGTCTTTTCGGAGACCTTCATTCCGAACACTTGTTCAGAAAAATGCCTGTTGTGAAATCTTTCATTCTCCGGTGTAAGCGCTCTGCATTATCTGGACGGCACAGTTAGAAAATAACGCTGAATAGAAAACGCAGTTAGTTTACAGAGAGCCATCTTTCTGTCTGCGGGGGTCTTTTGTGAGGAGGAGGAGGCCGGCTGTGCCTTTTCAAACCCAAGTAGGACAAGGGCATCATGTGGGCTGTGAAAAGGACAGTTAAGTAGTTAGTGAGTCACTGTGGCTGTCAAACCCTCATCCGTCCTCCTCGGCTCTCACTCTGATTTCTTTTCCGTCCTTGTCCCGTCCTCTCGTTGCTCTCACCGTCTTCCCTCCTTCTCCCCAGACTAATCCATCAGCCGAGTGGACGCTCCTACCACGAGGAGTTCAACCCCCCCAAAGAGCCCATGAAGGATGACGTAAGTAGCTCCACCGTCAGCCCACTTACAAACCACTCCGGGCTAAACTGCCACCTACCTAAAATCACTGCCGGCCTGGAAATTTGTGACCAACAGTCGGCTTTAGACTGAGTGCTGTGATGCGGGCTGGATGTAAAGCGACGTTTAATCTTTGCTAAATACGTCACAAACCTCTGATTGCTCTTATTTCGTCCACATACATCACAAAGTAAAGCCCCTCTCAGACGTCCTCTATTTTCCATTAATCTGTAGGCATCTGAACCTGTTGGCTTCACGCCTGAATGGTCGCTTTTTTGTGAAAGTTGTATATATGTAATGTTTATATTTTGCTTTTAACACTCACATGTCTGACCTGTGTCCTGAAACCGTATTAAGCATGTAGATTTAACAATGAGCGTGGTTTCGGTGGTTTCTTTATAGACTCTCTCTGGTCTAATTCCTGTTTTTATCTTTGGTGCTAGAAGAGGTATCATGAGGAAAACAAGCAGCCACGTTAATGCTAAGCTGTGACAAGGCAACATACCTGAAAAGTTTAGCATCATAATAGTTTGGATCTTAAGAAATATGGATAATTATTTATATTTTTAATACAGATCAGGTGGAAAAAAGCTACACATAAATAGAAATAAAGAAAGGATAAAGCAATGATCTTACCTTGATATGCATTAAATAAAGTTAAACTTGGCGATGCATAGAAGGCGAAGCTGCCACATCTGTTCCTAGAAGCTCAATTATTAAGATATTATTGGCTGTTTATGAGCCAGGAAGGAAGCATGGTTAGGCTTGTTCACACAACCAAGCGTCAACAATCTATCAGACAATTTTCTTGTTGCTATTAAATAAGAGTTTATTGCTGTTGTTTAGTCGCCCAGGCTGAGTGTTCCCACGTTGAAGCTGCAGTGAAGCGAAAACAGAGTTCCAGGATTTTACACACAACAACCCTAAAGAAAAGATCCTCTCAGCTTGCACATTCTTCAAAATTGGTTTAAACACGTGTGGCTGAATTACCCCAAAATTACAACTCGCCATTGTGTAGTGTGGTTTTACTGTGTTTGAGCGAAGCTGTAGGTGAGCTGGTGTGCTCGAGCTGCAACCAGTGCACATTCCAGAGGAAACAATGGTCTAGAGCAGCGGTCTTCAACCTTTTTTGCACCACGGACCGGTTTTAAGCAAGAAATTTTTCTATGGACCGGTCAATACGCACATAACAAATAATAATTGGTTTTTTTTCTATTGAAAAGTTTCATAAATGAATAAAATTAATTTTTATTGCTTAGTATGTTTACTTTTTCTCCTGTCTCAGTATTAAGTCTCTCCCACTTTCCAAAGCAGCTCTCCTGAGATGTTTGTTTTTGACTGACGGCTTCGTTTAGCAGCCGGGAATAAAAACTGACAGTCAAGTGCAGGAAACGAGCACAAACGGAAGTGACGGGAAGATGAGCTAGTCATTTTTCAAAATAAAACACCCTGCAGACTTCGCTGGAAATAAAAATAAACCAATAAAACGTTTTTAGTCTATCTGTGCGGCCCGGTACCAAATGACCCACGGCCCGGTACCGGTCCGCGGCCCGGTGGTTGGGGACCGCTGGTCTAGAGTTCTATCTCAGCCATTTTAAGGCAGGAAGAGATTTGTTTGTTTTTTTTATGAAAAACTCTAAATGTGAAGAGTTCATGCGCAAAAACAGATCACTCCATTTTTGTAGATTTTCAGAAAACTTGTCTTTTTGTTGTTCGCTTGAGATAACATATAATTAATCAAACTGAAGCTGAGTGGATTTGACTCAGTAGAAATGACAAAAACAGAGATAACTTAAGTTTGATTGATATTGTCTCAGGTAGACGAAAAAGTGGATTTTCTGAAGGTTTGTGAAAATGGAATTATCTGTTTTTGCAAATGAACTCTAAATGTGTACCTGCATTACACAGAGATGAGATTTTAGGGGTCAGATTAATGGCTGCAGAATGACTTTATAATCTGACATGGCTGAGATGTGGTTTGTGCCGCTACAAGTCAATATTAGGTAGATGTTTACAATACTTCGGGTGTATTTTTTTCCATCCAAGAATCTTCAGTGGAGGATTGCTAGTTTACAGGGTGATGACAGAAGCTGCTGCATTTTAAAGATTGCTTCTGCTAATGTGCATAAAACAGAAGAGCAAAAGCCTCAGTTTGTCATCCCCCTGCTGAATTTGTAATGTTTCTGGTTGACTTTAGTTCAGCCAATGGCAGATTTGCTTTTTTGGTAGTTTAATCAGCACTTTGCAGTTACCGCAAATACACCTTTTGTTATTAGTCGCTGGGACAAGTAGAGACAAATGACTCAATCAAATCAATCACAAGTAGCCAACGATGTGTGAACGCCAACTGACGCATGCAAGCATCCCTGAGGTGAAGTTATTGTGGAGATAATAAGAGACGACATGTGTTTGTGCTCAGACGTGAAATTTGTAGTTTCCAAGAAGTGAAATGGGTTCGGTGTAAAACTAGCGTTAGGGTCGATGGTGCATACAAGGTAAAACAAACAACACAAAGTGATTTCAGAGGATTTGAGCGCAGACATGTTGATGACTAACAAAGAAAAAGTACCTTCTGGTGTTGGATGTTAATCTGTTTGGAAGTAAAGTTCAGCTACCCAGTGGATGGAAATATAATTGGGTGTTGACAGGAGGGAAATCACATCTGCTTTCATCTTTAAGTAGTTACACAAGTTTTTAAAAACTCATTAGTTCAAACCTAAATAATGTCAACGTAACATGTTCAGTCATGTTTCAAAGTTGCAGAAACTCTTTCAGGTTACGTCCACAGGAATACGTTTTCATTTTAAAACAACAACAGTCTCCATCCAGATGAGTGTTTGGTTATTTTCAGGTGCATATTAACGCATGTTTTACTGCAAAATAAAAGGAAAACTTCCAAGGAGGGGTTGGAAACCTTTGTATAGACACTATTTGACTTCACCAGTTTCACCATAAACTGTGGCCATGTCACTCAGGAAAGCCTGCAGATATGCAGACTCACAAATAATATACACAATAGCATCAAAAAGTCTCCATCAGAGCCAGGAAATGTGCCAAAAAGTCTGAATGCTAAATGACTGTGATTGGACGAGGACATAAAAGCCTTGATCGGGACATCCCTACTTTGTATGAATGTGGAACTTTCTAAGCTCCACTCGCAGTGACACACAATCGTCTGGCCTAGAAATGAAATTCTTTAAAGCTCTTTTTTTGGAAAAATAATAGAACAGATGGCTTTCAGAACCGCAACAAGTGACTTGTGAGAGAAGAAAAGCAGAGATGAGATCATTGCAACAGAAACTAAAGCCTGCTGACCTAACTTTAGTTATGAGTTGAATGAGTTCTCCTCTTTGTGAACCTCCTGGTGTTTCTTCTCCTCTTTTGTCTGCTCCCAGGTGACAGGTGAGCCGCTGATCCGTCGCAGTGACGACAACGAGACGACGCTGCGCTCCCGTCTGGACGCCTACCACCGGCAGACCTCCCCTCTGGTGAAGTACTACAGCGCCAGAGGCCTCCACACAGCCATCGACGCCGCCCAGAGCCCCAACGTCGTCTTCGCCTCCATCGTAGCTGCCTTCACCGCCGCCACGGAAATCCCCGCTCGTGCCACCGCCTGTAAAGACGAAGTGTTCTTCATTTAGTTTTTCTTCCTTTCCCTTCGAGTGGCTCTCTTTTTTTTCCCCCCTCAGTGGTGGAGATTATACAAGAGTTGATCGAGTGTCAGAGTGGCAACAACATGTAACTTGGTGAAGTGATAACGTGGGAGATGAGACTCTGTGTGCCATCAGGTCACTGTTGTAGCAACAGTAAGGATTCAAAATTTTGTTTCTCTTCATCCCCAAATCAGCCGTGAAAGAGAAGAACTGATTCATTAACGACATGCTGCTTCTGCTTCTGCTGCCTTTCACTGTAGACAAGTGAGATTCAAGGTTTTGACATTTAGCAGAGCAGAGTGCCGTGCACGTTTTTGTACTTGCTCGTCACCAGAAGGTGTTTGAAAATATTTGTTGCATATTGTTTGCCGTTGCTTGACAGGTTTGCTCTTGTTTAATCGATGACTTTTCCCTGATATTCTTTGTCAGTTTTTTCATATTCCTGTTTTTCTATCCAACTTTAAAAGGTGCAATCAAAAAGTTCAGAGACTGTACCCATAAAAGTCAAAAACCTCCATCCCTGTTGAAGTAGTCTGACTGTGCAGCTGTACTCTGCTCCTGCAACACCTCCCGGATGTCCTGGTATGTAAACATGTCAGGCACCATGAGCACTGAATCTCCTAAATTGTGTCAAAATTGGTGAACCTTTAACATGAATTTCCTTTTGGAGAAGAGGAAGACATGAGAAAGAGCCAAATCTAGCGAGTAAAGCTGATGGAGGACAACGAGACATAATCACCTCCCTGACACGTTGACAGTACAGTTACAGTTAAACCCTTGAAAGTTCTACCGTGGGGGACAAATTTCTGGTGTATGAGCACATGAATGTACAAGAAAACAACTTTGGTGCTCCTGACCCTTTCCTGGTCTTCTCTTGATGGTAGCTGCAGACCCACCTCCAGTCACCAGCGATGATCCTCTATTTCAATGTAGGATCGTTCTGCTGCTGGCTGACACACAATGTGATGTTCTTTGGAGAAATCACAAATGTGCACCTATAAGTGGTCACAAAAATGTGCGTACCACCATAATGTTGGTGGCGTAAACAGACACTCCTGGCACATGTTGTGTGAATGCGACAGTCTCTAAACTTTTTGGTCGTACCTTGTGCTTGACCCTCCTCCTACTTCCCTAAACCTCAAACCTGCTGATCGTTTTCGGTGGCCTTTGATACTCTCCTGAAAGAGAACCAAAGGGCCGAGTTTTTCCATAAGAAGCTGAAGAGGTCATTCTGATGGAAAAAGAACACAATGCTGAATAGTTACAGACAAAATGACTGGACTGATGAAGGCGAAATCCTGAATGTACAGTTTAATTCTTGACATTTGTGGATTACGTGACCATTTTAATCGAAGCCTTCAAACCGGAGCGAGCCTCACCAGTGGGGCATGGAGGACATGTGATGTATATATAACACGTTGTGAGAGGTTCATGCGTTCTCCAGCGTTCTAAAAACAGGAGGTTAGTTGCTGTTATTTTGCCGTACATCGCCTCCTGTGACGCACGGCTCGAGGAGGCAATTCAGCCACTTTAAAAACCCTCAGCGGCTGCCATTAGCATCAACATGTGTGTTTCTTCTGAGTCATAACTCAGTCAGGCTTGAGTACAGAGACATCATACGTGTGTTTTTATTTTATATTTAGCGTGACTTTCCAAGAAGTTAAGTGTCCCCGATGCCCTCTGGAAACCAGTGGGGGAAAAAAAACAACCTCCTGATAGCACAACAGTTACCTGAGAATGTTTTTTATGTTCCATGAAAAGTTGTGAGTTGCTCATTCAGCAGACTTTTAATGATGTCTGTTTGAAGGCATCAAAAGAAAGTTACAGCACACAGTATAACTCACTGTGTCCTCAATGGCGTCTTAGAGTGACCAACGGTAGTCGTATTTACATAACACTTTTTCTTAAGAGAGTTTATGCGCTTCATTGGTGATCTGACTTAGCAAACGTTTACCTCAAATGGTGGATCAGCTTTTTCCACTTCTTTCGTTGTTTTTGCATCCAGGCAGCATGAAACTTGTCCGATACCGCCTGAAATTCTTCTTCCTCTTGCATTTTAGCAGTTGGCAAACATCTGGTTTTGTTTCCAGCTTCTTTTACTGTCCGATTACTTTGCGTAACCGAGTTAATGGAAATGAGCCTATTTTGTTTTGTTTTTTTCCCTGTGACATTTTAAACGGCTCTCTTGAAATTTGCTTAACAGTTTATCTGGAAACGTGGCTACTGCTTAGAACAGACAGCACTTTGTGTTGCTCATAAGGAAATCTGTTTCCCACCACAGCAGCATGTTTTCAGTGGTGCTGTTGCTTAAATCTAGTTTAATAATCTGCTCCTGAACTCAAGTGACACCTTGGACATTTGAAACCCTGCACAGGTTGAAAGCTAGGCCAGTATTCGATTGATATGATTACCTGTTAAATCAACGTGCGCTTCACTGTGTTTCGCCGAAGTGGCAGAAACCTTACCGTCGAGCTGTGACGTCTGCTCAACCCCCGCCGGAGGTTTAGGTTACAGCATGTTGTTATTTTACTGCTGCAGCTGCGTGTGATTTCTTGTCGATGTGGAATTTTATTAGACCAAACGGTTTCTGAGGAATTCGATTTGCCAAATGAGTTTACGTGTCTGAATCTGCAGGAGGGAGCGCGGATGTGCCAGTCACACCGCATATTTGCACACAGTGGTGTACTGACGAGACAAGTCTCTCTAATTGTTGTTGTTTGTGTTAATTGATGCGTAACGAGGCGCTAACAGGTCAGATGTCGGCCATAGTGTGAAGGTGTTTTCGGTTGCTGAATTTGGCTGAGAAGAAACTTCACAAGTAATGGAAAAGGAGCAGCTAATGACTAATTGTTATTGATGTTTTTATCATAGTAATGTGAGTGTTAATGTGAAGGCTGTGTGTACGGAGTAATTTGTGGTAATTAAGCTACATTAATGCGAAACTCTGGATGATCTGCGACAGCTTTTCAGAGCTTTTTAGTGAGTTTCAGCTTATTCTTTAGTTGTCCAGCCTAAAAGTTAACTGTTATTCACTCTCTCAAGCCCCTTTCAGACCTTCTATCTGCTAAACCGATGACATCTGAATGTGTCTAAATGAGCTTTTGCTGTAAACATCGTGCCAGCAGCCTTACTCGATCGGAGCTATTAACATTTAAATATCACTTTCCAACACAGAAGAGGCGAAAACTGCATAGTGTCATGAATGTACAGACCAAAACAAGATTATGACGTACAGGCGTTTGGCGTTGGTGCATATTGTCGGCAGCAAGGCAGTCTATGAAGTGGTAAATGCTGTGATTTATTTATTTATTTATTCCACTTTAACAGAGTGATGAGGCAGCCATGTTTCCTATTCAATGTCTAAAAGGGTCCATATTGTGATTTTTCAGTGCAAAAGCTCTAAAAACCTGAAACACGCTTATCTGCTAAGAATAGACAAAGTGCGCAACTAGCAGTGGAGCGTTTGGCAGCTAAAGAGCCTGATATGTCTTTGAAATGTAGGAGGAGACCCAAAACAGAGCTGGAAGGGAGACTATTAGTGCTGCATTCCCCAGGTAGCATCATAATGAAGAATAACTGGTGGTTCTGTACATGAGCAACCGTCTGCAAATACGTTCACCATATGAACTTAAAGGATGACACTGTATGTCCGTGTTGTCTCAACCGATTCACCTTGTTTCTGCGGCCCTTAAGTGATGAAATAGGTCAGTTAATGCAGACTTTATGGAGCATACACAAGTTGTCACTGTGGTTATTTGAATCTGACTATTTTAAAAAAGAAAAAAAATGAAAAAGTAATATGTAAATTGTAATATGATTATGAAGTTCTGTTTTAGTTAAAATACGAAACACCTGGCAACCTGCAAGCACTTTTTTTTTTTTGCATCCAAACTGTCGACAGCAGTTTGTGAGGGCAATGATGGAGACTTTTTGATGCTATTATGCAATTTTTTTTTTTAAAGTCTGCATATCTGACATTCCCACCAGTTCATAGTGAAATGTGCACAAACAGGCATGGATTGTGTAGATAACTGTAGGTGATGGATGACATCCGGCTGCTTGCTGCGTTTGTAGACTTGTTTGTATTCTCAGTCCAGATTTTTGTGGCTTTCCCTTCCTTTCTGTAGTTTGACAAAATGTAGGGATGTCTTTATTGAGATTTCTTTTGTTTGTTTAGTTTTATTTTGTTTTTTTTCTTTTCCCTGAATCCGATCCCAGTCATTTCATACTTAGTATCTGTGAATACAAAGTCCCAATTTGGTACCATTTTTCTAGATAACATCCTCTTCATGTCCATTAAAGTTATTAAAATCAATCCAGTGTATATAGATGCTTGACAACGGGACGCACAGGCAGTACTTGGCTCCTAATGCCAGTTTAGGATACCGGTCGCACTTCTGTTTCCAACGGCGGTAGCGGGCGAATACTCGAATATCAAAATTGCTATCCGGATATCACCGCTGAATATTCAGATATTGGGGTCCAGACCTAGAGGTTAGGGTGTACTGTGGCTCCACAGGCTCCAAAGGATGGAGAAAACCTGTTTTCTCAAGGTGCTTGTCAGAAAATGTTGTCGATCAGCTGTAGTACCCGGTTGTTCCACCAGGTGGAGCCTCTTACTGTTTATTACTGTAGCGACGAGAGGAGGCGTCACTCAGACTACAGGTTCCATGTTAACAAACAGGAGAACACATTGTGAGGATTTAGCTAGCAATGGACACCATGACAAAGACTTTGGTGGCGTTTAATGACCTCCGACCAGATTTTATGTGTTTCCTGCTGATTACTGATTGAGGAACTTATTTAAATCTGCTGAGGTGGGCGTTGTCTGCCCATAATGTTCTGTAAATGTGGTTTCTTTTGAACATTTTCTGTGAATTTCCTAAAAAGTTGCACAAACGTTCACTTGAACTCAACAATGAGTTGATCAGAATTTGGTGGTGGAAGGTCACAGTGACTTCACAAAACACGCTTTTGTTCATAACGCTAGAATTTATGGTCTAAGTATGACAACATTTCACATAAATAGGTTAAAACAATGAAGTAATGATGTTGTATGTACAAACAAGCCAGAGAGAAATGAATGTAACCTGCAACAAAAGGTGGGATTTCTACTTTTAGGTCACTGTGCTAAATGAAGCTCAGAATCCAGGCGGAAAACAGTTTGTTCTTGAATGTTTTTAGCTTTTAGTTGTGTTTTGTTGAAGTTTGTGTTTTTGCGTCGATCTTCGGGGTCTCTCAGCGTCAGCGCTGACGTCTCAGCCTGTGTGAAGTAAAATGGATCAAAGAGGCGAGTTGAAGGATGTCGGTCACTCAAACCTTCAGAGAAAATACTTGTAGGAAATGTTTTCAGTTCAGGCTTTTGTTCCTGCAGGCTCCCAAAGGTGTCTTATTTTTTCTTTACCCGTTTTAGTTTCGTGGCGGGGTTTTCACATCACAGCACGCTATCGAGGGTGTGATCTGAAAAGGCAAAAAACGATCTAGGAAACAAAGAGCTGCCTGCACTCTGAATAGATGCATCCAAACAGAGCCATTTATTACCTTCTTTTTGTCGCCACTGCTTTCAGTTAAAGTTCCTGCTGTGTTTAGCTCCGAACACAGATTGCTGATTGATATTTTACTGTCTTTTATCCTTCTATAATCAGCGCAGCCTCCAGAATTTCCTTCGAAATCGAGCTTGTGGGGATTCGCCCTCGACTCGTCTGCTCCTCCTTGACCTATTAGCTTCCTCCTGCTCTGTATTCACCTGGCGTTTGTGTTCAGTGGAAACATCTTGCATGTCGACGGCGCTGCCTCTCCTTTCCCTTGAATACTGATGTGCTTTTATTCTCTCGGGGCTGTTATGATGAAAAACAATAGCAGATGTTCGGAAGTCCCAGGAGGCAGATTTCAGTCTCTTATTCAACGCGATGAGACAATTTCATGCTGAATTTGCCTTCATACTCTTCACTGTGCCTCCGTAACTTTGCATTTGTCACTTTTTGAAAGCTGTGAATGAACACATGTAGAGTTGAACCTGATTGTTTGTTTTGTTCGCCTCGGATGAACTTTCGACTGTGCACTTTAAACTGAATGCTGGAGACCTAATTGGGCTGTGAGATAAACAAGAGTGGGGGGATTTTATTTGACAGTTGCAGCATTTGAATGACCAAGAAAGTATTAATATTAGTCATGGCTTGTTGCATTTTTTCCGTAATTCACCTGAAACTTCTCTTTTCCCTTCTCCCGCTTTGTCTTGCAGCTGGTTGAATCCTGAGCTGCTCCATTCCCACCGAGGCGAAGGATTGGAGCTGGGAAAGAGCTTGGGGTGGGCGAACAAACGGAGGGCAGGGTTCAGACGTTTAAAGGGGGGGAATTCATTTCATGAGTTAAGGTTATTTTTTGCGGTGCTGTTGGGCTCTTACTTTGCAGCACATTTCTATGTCCTGTAGATTTTTTTTACAGGAACGAACAAAGCCATCTTTTTGTCCTCATGTTTCCCCTTCTAATAAACCGCTTGCTTTTCTACTATCGTCACATTTTGTGCTTTTTGTTTTTCATCCGACTCTTAAACTGTGAAATCTACAACGTTTGTAATTGAAAATGCATAAAAGACTGCAAGAAAGCAATGTGGTTTTCTGATTTAGGTAAACGTTTTACACTGCGAACGTGACTGAATAATGTTGCATCAACTTCATATTGTGTGTTGTTTAAACAGTTTAAGATAAAACTGTATTTGTTCAAAAAAAAAAGGGGCATAACATAAAAAAATGCAGTGCCTAAAAAGTAGAAAAGCAATGAGAGATATTACTAAAATACAGTAAGTAAGCTAGAACAGAAGAGTAAAAAGTAATGCACATATAATGAGGTATAAATGTCGCGCATAATAATGAAATATTGCACCTGAAAAATGAGATGAACATGAAATATTCCACATTATTTAGGACAATTTCTTCAAGACTTGATTTAAAACTAACTTTTACTTGTAAGGATTTCAAGTCCCCTCTACTTACATTATAGCAAAAATAAACAACTTTTGGTAATTAAATACATTTAAATCAAATAAAATGGATTTTTTTTCTAGTGTGTGATGCACCGTGAATGTTAATCTTGTGGTGTGATCAGAGAGAAGTTGATCTGTAAAGTTTCTCCTTCATTTTTTTTTATTATTTATTCTGCTATTTTTCAAACTCCTCCAGTGTGAGCTCAGGTTTACCCTTTCAAAATGTTATCTAACCGCTTGAAGCCTTTTCTTGTAAAAAAAAAAAATGTGACAAATGCAGAGATTTTGTTGATTTTATAGTGAAGTATCCCAATAAGAAGGATTGTTTTGGTTTTCAGGGTCTGTTTTGTGCTTTTATCGATAGGGACAGTGGAGACAGAGTAGGGACGTCGGTCGGCTAGAGGGATTCCTTAAACACCACAGGTTGGATTTGCTTTTGTCTTGGTGCAAAAGTGGTAAAAAAAAAAACAACAAAGGTGAGTTTTCTGGCCAGTAGGCAGTTAAATGTTCCTCATGTAAGACAGACTTGGTTGTGGTGTTTAATTAGTGGCTGCTATTAAAAAAAGTTATCTAATGAACGACAGAAAACCTGGATGAAGGCAGGTCTTTGTGCAAAATCTAATGAAGCTGCTGTCTACATGCTGCATGTGTAATAATGGACTTAATGGAACCTTTGAGACAACAGAAGCCCAACTGACCCAGTTTTGTTTCCCTCGAGCCCTCAGGCTGGTTAATATTGGCATATTTATAAGACCAAAATGAGCACATGACGTTCTAAAAGACAAGACTGAAGAAAAAGGAATAAAATACACGATTAAAAAAACAAGTAGTTTAAAAAGAAAAAAGTGATATTAACTGGTAAAGTCAATTTCTTTTGGTATAAAAATGTTCCTTATTTTGTAGGTTTATTTAACAGGAACATTAATAATCACTGGATGAACCAAGATGCTGATTTTCTTCTGTAGTAATAAAAGTGTCACTTAACTTAAAAATGAAGTAAACTTCAAGTATTGGTTCTGTCTGAGCTGTTTGGTGCATTAATAATAAATAAGTGATCCACACATTATAGTAGTCTACAGTGTGTATCTTTAACTTAAAATAACGTGGAGACAAAGAGAAAGTAGTTTGAGATCAACTTCAGTTTGACAATTTTGTCAACAAAAGCAACAACATGAATTAACCCATAAGTTTGCTTTGATCAGTACGGTGTATAACAACCTCCATCCTCAGACCCTTTGTTATTCCATTAAAAAAACTCAGCCGTCATCTTTCTTTAGCTGTAATTTGTGAGATTGCAGAAGCAGTTTGAACATGTCTGGACAAGCTGCAGCTTTACAGACGGATCTCAGCCTTCTAATTAGCTGATGTAGAGATGATTGCTCTTCCTCTGTGGATCTCAGCGGCTAAACCAACAAAGAGCAGCGCACGTTAAGAGAAAGCTGTCTGATGATTTATTTAACCGGCAAATAAATAAAAGAGTCCGGCTACTTGTTCTATCATCAGCTGCTGTTAAGGGTTTAAATCTGAGCTGTTCAAGTGTGTTTTTTTTCTCAAACTCTGAACCAGAAATCTACACTTTAATAACACAAAGACCTTCCAGTTTTATTTCCATCTGTATTCTGAAGTTTTTTTGTTTTTTGTTTTTTTCTGCAGAAAAGGTTGTTCATTCATCATTCACAGCCTGATTTATAGAACGTTTTATTCCTAAAATAATAGTGAAAGCAGTTTTTTTGTGTGTGTGACTATATTAGTAATTAAAATAACAATGTTGAACCTGGCTTTATTCAGGGTATGAAAATAATCATATTTATTTAGATAGTGTTCATCCATCCATTATCTATACACCGCTTAATCCTCACTAGGGTCGTGGGGGGCTGGAGTCTATCCCAGCTGACTCAGGGTGAAGGCAGGTTCACCTGGACAGGTAACCAGTCTATCACAGGGCTACACTTAGAGACAGACAACCAAGCACACTCACACTCACACCTACGGACAATTTAGAATCACCAATTGACCTCAACATGTTTTTGGACTGTGTGGGTATATATTACAGAAAGAAAGAAAAGATCCTGTTTAGCATTATTCTGTAAGTAGAGCTACGGTGATGTTGCATAGATTCTTATATGTGTAGAAAAATGTGATCTTAGCGATTACTATTATTATTGTTAAATGTACAAAATATTCACAACACACAGATTTGAATGCATTGAATGAAATATGACAGTTTTCTTTTTCTGGGAGTAGAAACACAATGTGATTGATACATATTCAATTATGTTGTCACCTAGAAGCTGAAGTTTAACATTTCCACATCCACTGGTGCAGAAAAGACTTAAAATAAAGTCTAAAGCTTCACCAGAATGAAGGAAAGTAAGAGTTTGACACTGAAAGAACAAATCAAAGGAAAGCTGCACTCACTGTTTTGATGCTAACACTCAACTGTGTCTGTGGTTCAGTGTGAAGCAGCTGCTGCATCCTGTAGAAAACACCTAAACTTCTGCAGAGGTCACTGAATCTGAGGGTTAAAACACCAAACCTCATCCTCAAATGTGAAGATGAGCTTTGCATAAGTGCTTGAGTGAGCTGTAAACTGAATATTTTGAAGCTCTGGTGTGTTATTTTCTCAGCAGATTCTATGAGCAGTGCAGGATTTATTGAGGGAAATAATTTGTGGTCATTTCTGAAATGTGGCCACAGGAAAGATGTTTTAGAAGCTCGCCATCCCGCCCGCCTAATTTGCTGTTATCATAACAACTTCCTGGAAGCTTCTACAGAAAAACATTTCCTGCTTTACATCGTGGGAAGAAAAAAAAAACAAAACAGCCAAACTGATAAGATTAAAATGTGTGATTGCATTTAAATGGGCTAGTTTCAGGGTTCCGGCTTGTTTGTGCTGCGTCAAGACAAAACGTCTTTAAAACAGTTCAACCACCTCATGTTTAGTTTCTCTGAGCGGTAAGCTGAATATTATTACAGAAGGTTCAACCTGGATGTCCCCCTTAACATACACTTTCCCCTTATGTTTTCCCTTAAACACCTTTCACATTAAAATTCAAGATTTTGATTCACAGCAGGAAGTTTTTGAGGTAAATTGTGAACCTTTACTCACCTGCTGTTTCTTTGATTTGCATATTTTTGTGATATTTACACGTTACAGTAAATACATATAGTGCACTTCTTTAATTTATCCTTTTGTTTTATTGTTTTTAAGTGCAAACAACTCAGCTCAAATGCATCGACCTTGTTCTACCAACTTCTAATGTTGCTGTTAAAGTAGATTAAATAACATACAGATTGCTTAAATTTATCATCAGCCAGACAGAGTCGTCATCAGAACAGACAATATATATTCATGCATCAAGATATGTTGTAATACAAAACATTACTTCAGTCGGATTGTCATTGTCCAATTTGAGAAAATGCAGTTTGGAATGCAAAGCTTGCAGGCTTTTCAATAATCTGCAGCATTAGTGCATTCTTGTTATGTTATTTTATGTTATTATTGAGCAGATTGCAAATTAAATCACAATAATTTAGGAGTAGGTCAGCGCTGTTGATGGATTCAGAGTGACCTGCTTGGGTCTGCTGTCCCAGTTTTATTCTGTTACATGTTGCTTCTGTTTAGAGGACGAGACTCAGCCGTCCACCTGCACATAACAGATATGGGACTCTTGTTTGGGGACAACAGTGTTTGTGTTTTGGACAGACAAGACAGATGGTTCTAGAGTAGATTCAAGTAAGATATCTCTGTTTCCTGGAACAGCCAACAGAGGAGGAGATGTGCAACAACAATGATCAGCTACTTATAATGGAGTCTTGAGTTCCTTACAGGAGTCTCCATGTTCTCCCCGTGCAGCGTGGGTTCTCTCTGGGTTCTCCAGCTTCCTCCCACACAGTCCAAAAACATGTTGAGGTTAATTGGTGATTCTAAATTGTCCGTAGGTGTGAATGTGAGTGTGCTTGGTTGTCTGTCTCTAAGTGTAGCCCTGTGATAGACTGGTTACCTGTCCAGGGTGTCCCCTGCCTTCACCCTAAGTCAGCTGGATAGACTCCAGCCCCCCATGACCCTAGTGAGGATTAAGCGGTGTATAGATGATGGATGGATGGAGATCCTAACACAGAAAGCTTAATCATTAAAAGGTCCCATACATTGAATATCCTTTTTTATTGTGTTTTGTAGTTGTCAGAAATTTGTTAAATACAAGATATGAAGATGTGAAGATGTTCAACTAGCTGGCCTTTACAAGAGAGTTAGAATTCAACCCAGGTGCGATGTGACACCTGAATAACCAGTAGTTATCCAGCTGAAACGGCTCCAGAACAACAAGAAGTCATTGGTTTTCAGAGCTAAATGGCCCATTTAGAACAGTCTTAAACCAGGAGTTCATCAGTCATGGAACACGACTTATCAGGTACTTATAATGCAGTCCTGAGATCCTTACCCAGAAAGTTCAACCATTCAAAAGTCCCATATGGTGAATAGCCCACCGACAACTAGATAGCTGCCCAGCTTAACAAGCGAGTACAGATTTGACCCAGGTGTTATGTAACACCTAAATAACCAAGAGTATTCCAACTCAGATGGTTCAGGACCACCTGCAGCTTATTGGTTGTCCCTTAACCCTAAGATTGCACAACAATGGAGCAGGGGGTCCAGACACCATTTATCAGGTACTAGTAATGCAGTCCTGAGACCCTTACCCAGACAGTTTTTCCACCATTGACACACTGAGTCATCCCTGAAAAACCTTCTTAGATGAGAGATGAAACGTCCTCAAGCACCAAAGACAGAAGTCTGGGTGGCTTCTACTGAAGGAATTGTGATTACTTGATGACTTTATAGCTGTTATAGTCTCATTAGCAGCTACAATGTGCAGCTTTCTCTTAGTGATGAACCCAAATAACAGCTCATGTTGGTTTTGGTCATGACTTGCAATTGAGCTGCAACTGACCGGAGAATTAGTGCATCAGTTGTTTTTTATGTATCGTGTGTTAGAACGCTGTGCAGCCTGATAGAAATGATCAGGACTGTTTAAAATAATATTGGAACTGCATTTTCTCAGCCAATTGAGACACTTTTAATGGTTTGATTCAAGATTCAAGACTTTTATTTGTCACAGACACAAATATACACAGTGAAATGTGTTTAGCACCTGTTCCAGACCCAAACTATAATAATAATCATAATAATAAAGACATAGATACTTTATTTGATAGATAGATAGATAGATAGATAGATAGATAGATAGATAGATAGATAGATAGATAGATAGATAGATAGATAGATAGATAGAAAAATAATAATAATAACAATAATAATTGTTGACAGTTAAAATGAATCATGAACGTCTCTACCACGATGTGTCAGTATTTTTTTGTTTTGTTTTGTTTTGTTTATTATTTTGTTTGTAACCTGTTTATGTAACTTCCAGCCGGAAACACCCTGTCGGTCACATAACTTCACCGCGGCCCCAATACTTCTGTGTTTTGTAAATGTCGGAGCACCTGTCCTGCTTCTGTGTCCGGTAAACACCGGCGGTGAACCGGCTCGTGCGGGGAGGGGTTTCCGTGTCTGACGTCACCGGCAGGGCTTTCCTCCATGACGTCAGAGGGCGGCAGCCAGAGAGCGCGAGGCGACGCGGAGCGCGCTGCGGAGATTATCCAGAGTTTGGCCGCTGCGCTGCCGGTGCGCACTGACGACCAGAGGCCGCCGTCACCTGCCAGCACCCACCGCCGAGCCCCGCACAGGAGCGAGGCGGACACGGCCACGGAGGCAGCGCCGCGGACACCCACGCAGCTTCCAGAAAAGAGCGAGGAGCCGCGGGGAGGCGCCTGGACAGCAGCCGGAGCGGCCGCCGCATCGCTCCCCAGCCTCTCCTGTGGAGGAGACCCGGAGCTGAGCGGGTGAGTGGCCGCTGGTGAACCCTCTGCTGCGTGTTTGTCAGGGTGTCAGGGGTGGAAACGTCTTAAATAGCCTGGATGACACTTAAAACAAAGGCTGGGTGGATGTATTTACCTCCAACATGACTGCTTTCTGTATTCACTAATTTTCAGCTGAAAGAAAACCTCTGAAATGATCATGACAGAGGGGAAAAATCTCAACATGCATTGTGAGGAAACGGCTTCACTGGAAATAAACTGTAAAATGCCTCCAGCTTCCCTGTCCAAGTCATCCAGGCTGTGTGAGAGTTAAAACACATTGCTGTCTGCTCTGCCACTCCCCGGTCACTGTCTGCTCTGAGGACATGCTGTATTTTCCAAGAAAAAAAAATACATTAAACATGAACCTAGAAAGAAAGCTGGCAGCAGAACTGTGGACAGAAGAGATGTTAGGATGGAAGAGGAGCCACTGATCCACACTGACACTGCACCGTGGAACAGAAATATTTTGCTTTTACTTCTGTTTGAGGACAGATTTTGAGATCATGTGGCCTTGGAGGAGACAAAATATAAGTTTTATGTCCATAAAAATGCATGAATTTTTTTAATTTGTGGTGTTATTGGTGAAACACTCAAACTGAAAGCTGCCCGAGCAGATAAAGATCATCCAGAACTAGTTTAGGCTGTAGGTTTTGTCAATAAAAATCAGATGGAGGTTGAAATGTACCTCAACAGAGCTCCACTGTGATGTGTGTGAATATAATAAGCTGCTGTGCTGTCATGTTATTCTACAGATCCTTGTAAATAATGTTTAAAGTCTTACAGAAAAGCTCTTTAATCACCATGTAGGATTCAGTGAGTGACGTCTGAAGCTGTAGATTTGTTCAGATTTAACACATAGCAGGTGTGTGTGGTTTTTTTTTCTTTTTTACCGACCAGCTGGATGTGATTGGACATGATGAGACGCACAGAGAATCAGGAAGAAGGTTTTGACTGTTGAAAAATGAAATATATCAGGACACAGTGTACAGTCAACCTCACCCATCTGACTTCCTTTATTTAGACAAACAGGGATGCACTACTTCTACTTTTTCTATTAAGATTTGATAGTGACACGAGCTCGATTGATAAATTTACACGGCCGGTGTCTTTTTTAAAATATATTTCTTCATGCAAGACGTTAAATGCCATTCTCTGCCTTGACAAAACATAATAATCTATAAAAAAATAAGGAAAATTAAGCAAGTAAGTCCTTAACAAGGGGATTTTTTTGTTTTTTGTGAATATATTAGAAGAATTTTGTCAATAAACCAAATGAAGTGCCCAATGATCAGCTCATACGATGTAAAATTATAGAAATCTGAGGGAAAAAAATGCAGTATGAAATGCCAACGATGCAGTTGGGTTAATCTAGAAACAGGAGTTGTCGAATAATTTTTCAGACCAAGAGACTCAAGAACACAACAGCTGAACAACTACCATCATATGTTGTAGTAATTTAACATAGATTAGTATCAGAATACGTCAGTCAGACTGATCTCCATGTAAAAACTGTAGGACTGAGTTAGCATACAGTTTATTGGAGCAGCAAACTAACAAGTTTTATCCTTTTTTGTAACAATTATAGCTAAAATATGCTGTTTGCAATTGTTGTTAAATCAAATTTGGTTTCTAGCACTGAATTGAGTACTATTTTTTGGACTCCAGAGCTTTGGTAGCCTCAGCAGAACTGTACGTTTTAACAGTACACTTAAGAATGACAGAATGTATTTTGCAGTTCGCCTTTATTGATAGCCCACATTTAAGGGGAAAAAAGGAATATTTTAATGCTGAAACTGAAATCCTACACAACAAATACATATCCGAATAGTTGAATATTTGGTGGTAACCCTGTTGATTTCTTGAAATCCTGTCCTGACCCCGACTTTGGCAGCAGCTGCTCTATAAACAGTATCGCCTGTTTAACATGGTTTGTCCAACAGAGGGCGCTGACAACTTCATTCTTCTTCTGTAAAATGCTCCGCCTACTTTGTATCTTTGCCACAATTTTTCAATATCGAAATGTAAGTGTTTTCAATCAAATCAGCTTATTTTTTACGCTTTTAAATTTAAATATCCGTATTGGCTTTACAGTTGCCACTGATATTGATTTGCTATCCAACACTAGTTATGTGTTTCAGTGTGGGTCGACCAATATGTTTTTTTAGGGCTGATACCAATTATTAGCGGTCAAGAAGGCTGATAACTGATATGTGGACCTGATATACATTTGCAGGAAAAATGTCAATCGTGGTGTCAAAACTAAAGCTAAAAAACCAACAAAAAGCTGATTGCGAAGGTTTATTTATTTATTTTCTTAAAGAGCTTTTCAGCATTTATCCTTCAATGCTGATTGGCTGTTACTCGCAACCTGTAACCAATCAGATTGTACTGTGGGCGTGACATCGCTTGAGATCACAAATAGACTAATAGAGGACGCATTGTTGAATTATTTTCGGTCATTAGGAATCGGTTAAAAAATAATACTGATGATCAACAAAAAATCTGTAATGTTAATAGAGCAGGAGCAGCAATATGTTTTTCAAAAATTTCACCTAATTTAATTCTATTGTTCTAGTCGGTTAATAAAGTCGCGCTGTTGTAGTTTTACGGATCGATTCGTCCAATCTGCTCGATGCTCGATGTGTTCGATAAGGTCAGTGTTGCCTCCTGTATAATGTACCACACTAGAAATACAGTTTTCAAAATGTTCAGGGTAAAGAATTGTACTAAATTAACCTTGAACCCTGAATATCTTGGTTTACGCCTGGTTCTCTTTAAAATATTTGCTTACCGAACCAGATTTCAGGGCAGATGCTGAGAATACGTATCGCTCTATATCTATTTTATCCTTCATAAGAACCATAGAGAAGCAAATTAATGTTAATGAAAGCAGGTTTACGGTCATTCTATCTCAAATTATCAAATTTTGAGAACATTTCTTTCTCTTTCGACGATCTTTTGATTTTCTTGAAATGTTTAAAGCATAAAATATGGATATTTAGGAAGATATCTGAAATTTTTTGATTGATATTTCAAATACTTTCAAATTATCAGAGGCTGTTTGTTAAAAATCTGAGGCCATGTTTCAATGGTGATATCTGAGGAACTGTTAAAGATAAAAGCCTGAGATCACATCATTGATTCAGAATCTGTAATATTGATCCAGTCGCTCAAACAGTCTCTGATTATGAATGAGTTGAAATATAAAGACTGTAGCATTTACTCCTGAATTTTGTGTTCTTTTACATAAATAGTCACATTTACACCACGAGTTGATGCTAAAAAGAAACAAATGAATGCCTGGACAGATATTAAGTGTTTGATGCTCAGAATTTTCCTTCTTAGTGAGTCATCCATATGTTCAAATTAAATCTACATCCAAAGAAGCATCTCAGCAAAGGTTGTTTCAGGATAGATGCAGCTCTGTGGACTGTCGATTACAACACGACATCACGATTGTGTCGAATGGTCTTGAGATGACAAGATAATTTCTGTGATTTAGGAGCTTCTGCTGCAAAAGACGGATGATGTGTCATTATGATTTTATTAGAAAGTGACCAGGCTGCATCGCAAAAACAACAGCATGAGAGTTGGACGATGTCGTTCTCTTAGTGTGCGTTTGGAGTCACATGTTTTAGACCATTACCTCATCCGGAGGAGGTTTACGTTCCCGTGTCATTACGAGTCTCGGGTTACTGACAATAGCCGGGAATTACACGCTCAGTTGTCAGATGTACTTGCATTGTGCTGCTGTTTCCTCCCAGAAACCTGAACGCACGTCGTTCCCTTTACTACTGTTACCGCCGCCGTGCTCGGTTTGTGTGTTCGGTGGAGGTGTGGTGGAGCTCAGAGGTTTTGCTCTTTGCGCCTGCAGGCCCGACATTAAACATTCAGCAACTCAGCGGCGCTTCTCCTGAACGCTCCTCTAATTATAGCAGCTCCCAGCCTGGTTCTCTACCTCCACCTTCCTCTGGACTCTCCGTGTACTTTATATCTGCATGTGTGTGGGAGAGAGGTGTTAATGAGAATCAGTGGGAGAGAGAGAGAGAGAGAGAGAACTGAAACTCTCCATTTGTGTACCCATCTGCCTCCTACTGCATGCATCCCTTACCAATATAATGTTTACATTTTTCCAGATATATAGACAGACAGACAGCTCTATTAGTCATGAAGAGCCAGTTTGTGGTTATTTTATTGAGAATCAGCGCTCCCTCCTTAGTCATTTCTTATAAATTGCTCGTGTTACTCATCACTAGAGCTGGTTACCGAACCTCAAGACTTTCTGAGCGTTGACTAAAATACAAACTAGAGCTGAAAACAATCAGTCACAAATCTAATCCAAAGATATTTTGAAAATGTCCAGATAAAAGTGCAAAAATATCCTCAGTTCCAGCTTCTGAAATGTCTTCACATCATGATGCTGCCACC